CTTCCTATTTGTTGTACTTGGCTCTGAAATTTCCAGAGATGTCACTGGCTAATTAAATTAAAAAATCCAATTATCTCTTTGCACACTGTTCACCTACCTCATGACTTAAATTTTTCAGATCAAATTTAAGGATGGTTCCAAAATTGGCAGGGTATCAAGTAAAAAGGATAGGACAAAATGGCGAAATGATCTGAGAGGGTAATTTCTAATAGATAAAGTATTCTTTACTTCTTGTCTTGAATAGCACAGTGGGGTGCTACTGTACATTGTTCTGGTTTCTTATTTAGCTGTTAACATAATGGATGAATAGTGCAATTGTGTAATCTGTGCTATATGTGCCATTGGTTATGTGAAAAGTTTATATTTTGCCTCCCAGAGTCTGTCCACACAACATGCTTATTTTGAAATAAGCTATTTCAGAATTTATTTTGACGAAATAGCTTATTTTGAAATAGCACATCTATTCTACAGGGAAGCCTCAAAATTAGTCTGAGGAAGGGTTCCCTAATGTGGACATGTTACCTCAATTTAGAGACCAAAGAGGCACTGGAGAGTAATTACTCCAAATGGCTCTGGGGAGGAGCTATTTTGAAATAGCAGCAGTGGAGCATCCACACTACTTCTATTCCAAAATAGCTATTTCGGAATAAACATTATTCCTTGTGCAATGAGGTTTATAGATTTCGAAATAAGCCATCCGTTATTTCAAAATTATTTCGAAATAACAGAATTGCTGTGTAGACACTCGCACTGATATTTAGAAACAACATCAGTTATTTCAAAATAACTGTGCTGTGTAGATGCACCCCCAGGGAACAACACGGTTCCTTTTCATATACATTTCTTACAATCAATTAGTAAAATTTATGGAGTGTTTTTGGATCTACTGGCAAAATAAAAAATATAAATACAAGTTCATGAGGATAGGTGTCTTTAAAGGATAGAAGACAGTAAGTCTCATCTCATTTCAGCAGATGTATTTCCACTGAACATTCAAAAGCAACAGCCCCTTCCTAAAGCCCCAAATTGCACATTTCTCTCTTTTTTCTGTATAAATATTTTCAGAATCAGGGCCTGTTATAGTTACTCAACTGAAAATAAATAATTTACAGATCCAGATGTGTTTCCTTGCCAACAAACACTGTTTATGAAACAGAAAAAAAGAGAGAAATAAAACCCTATGTTACTAACAGAGAAACCACAATAACACATTCTAACCCCAAAGTATCAAGGCAAATACTGGCTGTCTGTTTAACATCAAGTACTGGAAGTAGTTCTCAATGTGGTAGGTAAGATACACAAAAAAGCCTTACTCAGAGGAATCCAAATTCAGACACCATTGATAGTGGGAACTATGAAATATAAACTGTACTTCCAAATCCCAATCCTTATACCTCAGGAGCTTCTTTGTTTAATATAGGCATCATGAGAAAGTAAGACAGCTTATAGCCACCTGTGTGTATAATCACGTCCAGGCATATTTGCACATACAGAGATGTGCATTACTTTTAGCAAAGGAATGAGAGAGGAAGAATTGGAAATATGCAAAATTCAGTTTAGCCTATCATGTATGTATTTAATCTAACAAAGGGGGTCCCTGAGAAAAGTCTATAAATACTCCAAGTTATTCTTTACTGGGAGCTATAGGAAATGTGTATTTATTAAAAATTCATCAGCTACTTATGTTTCATCAGGTATTCCATGAACACAAAATTTACGTTAAAAACCCACTGCAGTATTTGACACATCTAGATCCCCAGGGTGAAATCCTGGCTATACTAAAGTGAATGCAAGTCTTGCTGTTGTCACTAGTGGAGCTAGCCTTTTACCCCTATCCAACCAGCCCTTTTCCACAAGAGCAATCCTGATTTATATCCATCAAAGTCAAGAGGACAATTATTGTGGGTGAGGAATTGCAGAATCTGGCCCTTGTTTGCTTTCTGACTAGCACCTATCCACTTTCTAATAATTGTACCAAACATTTTAGTATCTGAAAAAAAAATCTGTGTTTTTGAAATGCTTTGATCATACTGAGTTTGGGTATTATTCTCACTGGGGTATAAATCAGGATTACGTCCCTTGAAATCAGAAGAGTCGAAGTGGTATAAAACAGACATAAAAAGAGAATCAGGCCTTTTGTCTTGGTGCAATTTCCTGCAAGCTTGAGAAAATGCATGTGATGAACACAGCCTACCCCATGTAACAAATTCCCCAAATTCTTCTTCTCTCTCAAGAAATCTGTGATTATCTGGGAAGATAGTTTTGTACGTGATGCTGAAATAGAGGTCATTCTGCACACAGAAGCCTGAACCACATGCAATGTCCTGGAAAGGCTATTATTTGTTTTCAGCGCTATTAAAAGGTGTGTTGGGGCTGCCAGCATTGATGACACTGTTGGCACATAAGGGAGAGATTCACACTAGCACTACAGCCTTGACGTTAACAACAAAAGTTCAAGTATCGCATAGGATGTGGCCGCTGTAAAATGCTATTTTTAGAAACTGCATATTGATATGCTTTAATCCACCACTTGATCCAAGGTAGCTTGTCATCAGTTTTACACAGATGGCAACTACCATATATTATTTTCTATTTCCACTGTGCGTGAATTTAGGATCTCTTTAGTATGAAGCACAAAAGGTAGCGCAGGGAGCACCATGACTATCAATGGAGACAGAAGACAGAGAACTGACAAAGACAAAACTTAGGCTGTTGGGACAGTTGGCTGTGTAGATTGCTTGTTTTCTGATTGCGTTGCATTGTTAATTAAGCCATAAACCATAACAGCCAGTGGGCAGCATCTATCCTCTGCCTCTCTGTTGGTTCACACACCAAACCAATCTACGCTGCATTAGGAAGGGATGATAATGGTACGCCCAATGAGTGTGAAGTGACACCAAGCTGAAGGTGTAAAAGGGTCACCGAGTAGGAACTTTAGCTTCATTAATCTCCCAGAACTGCATTATTTTTCTGGTGTTATGGCTATTAATAATATTAGTATAGAATAAGAAGGACGAGGAGGAGGAGGAGGAGGAGGAGGAGGAGGAGGTCATTCCCATGCTTTCACTGAGAATTACTGACATAGATATGACATCACCGATAGCCAATCAGAAAGCTACATTTGTGTCTGGCGTTTTAAAGCCATTTCCTAATGAAGCACATATGCTTTGCTAAGTTTATTTTGAAACTCTATTTGCTTATTTTCCAGACATGATCAAAAGGCCATTCGGAGTGTTCAGTAGGAGGCACTTGAACCTTCTAGGCCTAGAAAATTTTTTCGAGTCTTAGCAGCTGCCAGCAATAATACCATTGGTAATGTAAGATGTGCTGCTTGAAACACTCTGTCTTTCCCTGGCAAATTAATATGACTTTGGGAACTGAGCCCCTTGGGTGGCAAGAAGAGTTTTCCCTCCAAAATTATCCAGAACTCCATATTGAACTAACCATACATGGTGTTTTCTCACCTCAACTTCCCACCCATGGGCAGCTGGTAATCTAGGCAAGGGAAGGTATTGCCTTCCCAATATTGCCTACACTGCCCAGCTACCCTGGGGCCAGAGAAGGCTGGGACTGTGCAACCTGGCAGCCCCATCCCCAGGGGCAGATGAGAGTTTTGCGGGGCCCAGGGCAGCACAATTTTGCAGGGCCTCCCCTTTGGAGACAAAACAGAAAAAAGGTGTCAAATGCGCAAATTGAAGGCTATTTTTCATATTAAATGTGAATTGGGTAAATTTGATAGAAACTTAATTTAGTTGGATAATTTTTATTTGAATTATATTGTAATTCATTCTTAAACACAATTCTACATCAATAATTAAACATTTTAATTTGTATTTGAGTCTACTATAGCTGTCTAGCTCTTTTGGCAGCACATTCTTCAATTATGTCAGTAAAGTCCATTTCTTTACACAGGTCATTTTCAATCGATATAATCGAAAGACCTACAAATCGCTCCTGGCTCACAGTAGATTCTCTTTGGCTGCCCATGGCTGGTATTTGCCAGGCAGCGTTGGGTGTTCCACAGCCAGGCAGCATTGGGACTTGCGGGGGCCAGGTGGAGTGTGGGTGTTGAAATGGGGTGTGGGGGGCAGGGGGCAT